AAAAAAAAAAAAAACGTGGCCTGCAGATGAAGCTACATAAAAAAAGATGGAGATGATGACCTGTTGGGGAATAAGCCAAAAATAAAGTATTATTATTTATGTAAGATTAGGTAAAAGAAAAATAATTAAATAATATGTAAATGAGAATGATAGTGGGATGATGTCATACTAGAATTTCTTTTTGAATTATTTTAATAAGAGGGATTTAAATGAAAGTTGAATAGAGGGGTAGGGAGTGTAGTTGAAAGAAATAATGCCTAGGGACTGACATGGAAGTTTGAAAAAGGATTAGGGATTTTTAAAGAAGTGTCCCAAAGTTAATTATATTAGTGTGATATATTTTCGCTCAAGAATGTAAAAAAAATACATAATACTATATAATAAATAGTAAATGGAGGGTTGATACTTGATAATGGGAAACATGGATATAAATAAATGAGGATGTACATATGAAATTGTGGATTGTTATTTTTATAATAAATATTTAATTAGAATTTGGAGAAAATTGATATTGTTATGTTTATTGTGCATAAAGTAAGTAAAGCATAAGCTGGGCCTTAATAAAGAGACGTTTTGTGGCACTTTGGTCATTTACGACTGTGGGCCCATAACAAATGTTAAATACTATACGGTCCCGTTAATGGGTGTAGGTCCCACACGGGTTCGGTAGTAGCTGGCATTACACCGTAAGGCTGAGATCCGGCCCGACCAGCTTCTATACAGATTTTGCGTAGCTAGTAGTTTAAGACAACAAAACTGTTGAGTGAAGATGACAATATGGCATATGAATTAAAAAACAAAAAAAATAAATAACACAAGATTTACGTGGTTCGGCAATATGCCTACGTCCACGGCGGCTGAGGGATCTTTATTATTCTCAATAGTCACAAATACATCAATACACTATGTATTTATACTATAACTCTACAAGGTATTAATTTACTTAAATACCCCGTACCGTATACCGCGGGGGGCGGAACTAATCGGCCCAGCCCAACAAGGGCTGATGCCTGCTCGCTCCACTCCGCTCACTTCGCTCGGTCGCTCCGCTTCTCTGGCTACGTTCGCTCCGTTACGCTCGCAAGCATCAGTCTGCCTCCTTCCTTTGTCAATATATGAGCCATATCAACAAAGACAATTAATAAAATCTCATTTATTTTTTCTTCAAAGAAAGTTACAAAAACATGTTTATTTTATTATTTATTTCTTTAATTAAAACTTTAAATAATTTATTAATCAATGTATATTTGATCTGTATATATAATTGCTAACAAAAAAATTAATAAAACAATTTAAATTTTCACATTTTTTACGTTACAATCTGATATATATTTTATGAAAATGTAATCAAAACTTAATCAATGACCTTTGTAATAATGATTAATTAAAATAATCATATTTTTAATTATTTTATTATATAACAACTGTTATTAAAGCTAACCAATTATAATTCACACTAAAATATTATATTACAATTTTTTTGTTAAACTACTTAGTGCTCTTAAGCATTTTTTTTACTAAGTTAATTGGTTTTAGTGGTATAGCCAAACCTCTTAAAATTTAATAATAATAATAATAATAATAATAATAATAATAATAATAATAATAATAATAATAATAATAATAATAATAATAACTGTAATAATAATAATAATTTTTAAGATAATTAATAAGTCGAGATCTCTCAAATGTCTAAAAACTTCATCATCTATTTCATTTTATGTAATCACTGTAGTTATCAAATGTTAATTTTTCTAGAAAATTATAAAATGTGATACTACTATCTATGTGGCGGATCATTATATTTTTGGTGTTAGCTTCATATCATTACATGTGTTAAATGTAAATTTATATTTAATATTTATAAAAATATAAATACAAGTTCTAATTGTAAAATTTTAAATAATTCTTAAGAAATAACATAATTTTTTTATTTAAAATGATACTCCCCACCTATCAAATTTGACTGCATTGCGTTATAATCTTTTTAATATTTATACTGTATAATAGACTTGATAAATAAATTTATCTTTTTCAAGCATAGTTAATAAATATTTATTTTTTTATTGATAGGGATCTGATAGATATAATTTTTTTAATTTATATATAAGATATTGATGTCAAACTATATATCGTAAACATATTATTAGTTTAATTTATGACATATAACATATGTTAACAAATATAAAAGTTATTAACTTTTAAAAATATTTTCAATTTAAGTTAGCCAAGGGTTTAAATTTGAAAGTTATAATAAACATTACTCTACATTATATGTAAATAGACAATTCATAAAGAACTGATCTTCATAAAATGGCATAATTATAACCTAAAATGATGACAATTAGATTTTTTATAAATTAATAAATTTTATTCCAAAATGACTTGTTTATCTATAGATTTTTTTATAAATTTATAAATTTTATTCCAAAATGACTTGTTTATATATAAATTATACAAAAATTCATGAAAACGGGATTGCATAATATTTTTTGTATATTTATTTATAATAATAAAAACGTTAAATCAAATAGTCTGACCTCATTTTCCATTTCATTTTTTAGCATCCATTCAAAGACATATTGAATAGGGAATCCATCAAGACCCGATTGCTTCAACAATTTATTTAATTATTAATAAAAGTACTTTGTGCAATATGGTTAGAAATTTTTCTACAACTATTTTTTGCCCTGGCTCGTGAAAAATTTTGGATCCACCGCAGATCTAACTTATAATTTTAATATTATATGCGCATATAAAACTTATAATAATTTAAACATA